TATATATATATATATATATATATGTATATATATAAACTATTTTCCGAGAATGCTTTTGTGTAATAGCAACTATGCAAATAACAAACACCTAGAAAAAGTACAATATATTCTATTATTTTCCATGTGAATCCCAGATTGTTCATTCTTCTTTGCCTTTTCTAAACAGTGCTTTAAATCAGTCCTAGCTGTCTTTATCCATGCTGGGTCAGATTCTGATGTTTGAAAAAGGAGGCAGGGGAAGCAGGATAAAGCTTTAGCCTTGCTGCATGCAGTTAGCCTAGCCTTAAAGCTAAACCAGGTTCTGGAAAAGGACGTTTCGTGCACCATTTCTCTCTCTCTCTCTCTTTCCAATGCATCTCTTACTCCTGGGACTCGACCTGTCAATCACCCGCAAAACCTCTAAACTATGGCGGGATGTGGTGAGCAAATACACAGAGGAGCTACTGCGCACGGACAACTTTTAACGGCAGTCAGTGGGCAAAGATGGGTGTGCAGGTGGGGCAGTGGTTTGCGCACACGACCATGTACGGAAGACTTAGTCCTCGATGCGGTCAACCCGGGTTCGAATAAGACCTGTGGTCCTTTGCCGCATGTCTCTCCCCCTCTCTCATACCTGTTTCCTGTCAGCCTACTGTCGAAATAACAAGCCACTAGTGCCGTTTTTAATGTTTTAATCAGGGTCATTGGGTGGGTGGGGCAGCACCCTAGCGCCCTCTATTGGCCAGCCACCACTGGCTATGACCTTAAATTGACTGGATTTAACTTGACTCTCTCTTGACTGGTTTCCTTGTTGGTTTCTCTCTGCAGATACCTTCTGCCTCACCTGCTTCCTCCAAAGCCGGCCATGGACATCCACAGCTTCCACCATCACACCAACAACACCCTGCAGCGGCTTTTCAAGATGAGCTTTGTTCCTGCGGGGTTTTGGGAGCGCTTCATCGCCAGGATGCTCATAAGCCTCACAGAGATGGACCTCCAGGTATGCGTTTCCCTCAGGTCCTCGTCAATCAGCCCCGTCACCGTGGGGACGACTCCTTCTCTGTTTGACTCGTCTTATTCTTTCAGTCGTCTGATCCACTCAAGAGAAGGAGCAAGAATCGCAGGAGTTCACTGATCTACAGCTTTGCTGGAAGCCAGCAGAGGAACCGATGCAGCACCTTCAGGGTCCGACGCAGCCAGACCATCTACTGGAAGGAGGGGCTCCTGGTCACATTTGATGGAGGTTACCTCAGGTCAGCAGGGAGATGCTGCAGAGAGATGCTAGCATTTCAGTGTATGTTTGTTCCACCAGGTTACATCAGAGTCCAAAGCAAAAGTAATCTGGACCAGCACATAGATGTGTTAACATCAATTTAAAGATCCAGATATAAAACAGATTGTTCCTAATTCTCATGTTAAACATCATCGGGAAAAAGACCTGAGTTAAAAGAATCAGAAAAGAAAACCTGCTGTTACAGCTGCTGTATGATTGTGGATTTATTTGCAGATTATATTTCAAAGATTTTCGCTGAACGACGTTACAATATGATGTTCCTGTTTGCAGTGTGGAGTCATCAGATGTTAACTGGAAGAAGATAAAGAGCGGCGGCATAAAGATCATCTGTCAGTCAGACGTGAGAGATTTCTCCGCCATGGCCTTCATCACTGACCATGTCAACTCTCTGATCGAGCAGTGGTTTCCCGGTCAGTATTTGCTCCATGATCTTTCCTTAGAGAGAGAAAAAAAAAATGTTTTTGGTCAAAGGTGTTCCTCTTTTTTTTTAACCTCACTTCCCAGAAATGAAATCATGTTTGCTTACATATATTCTAATAAAACCGTCTGTTCTCTCATATGTATATTGCTTAATGTTTTTCTTCCTCAGGCAGTAGTCGTGATCTCAAATCCTAAGGGGGCTGATGTTTTGCTACTTTTAGATCCGTCTTTTGTTCTACACTTCTTGAAGGAAAAGTTCGGTCAGCAAGGAATGATCAATTGATCATTATCTATATCTGAAACTAATACGTTCACTTTGATTTAATGAATTTAGTATTATTCAGTAAAAAATAAAAATTATACTTTTCGTTGCAATTAAGCGCGGCTTACACTGTGCGATTTTTTTTTCCTTTTCGGGGAGAATTTCCAGTAGTGCGATCAGGCCTAATTTCAGCCTGATCTTTTTCTTCTTCTTCCTCTCAGATGAAAACCCGAAAGCATGGTGGGAATGCGACTGAAGTGGAGTTCTTGCTGTAAATTTGACAGACCCTAGTAGCCACGTTTGCTCAGCCATGTTTTTGTCCAAATATGTCGTTGCCTTTTCTTTTTAGGGCTTGCAGCAAAACTTTGCTCAAATTGCCAAGGCAGTGTGTTTTAGTCTAGCTAGCTTCATGTTCCTCTTCTACTCGTTTGGCTTCCGGATAGATGAGCCCGAGTAGCACTATCTCACTGCGGATCTTAGTCCGATTTGGTTTTTAGATGTACAGTGTGAGCAGGTAGATCGCATCAGAGCGTCGGGCCGCACAGCGTAAGAACAAACATGGTGAGCTGTGAGCTCACAC